ACGGTTGAACGGAAACCTGTCCGTGAGTCGCGCGTCGATAGTTTAGTGCACTAACACTATCGACGCGCGACTCACGGACAGGTTTCCGTTCAACCGTAATGTATGATTGGCCTGTTTTGAACCTTTTTATCTAAAAAAACTACTGCTCGGAGCGAAAAATGGCAAATAACTTTTTACTTTATTTTTTCGACGACATTCTTGCTATGGGTATTTTGATTCGCGAATTTCAGGACACCCTGTATGTACACGCATTTATATATTCAACACTTTCTGCTATACAGATCAGTCAACATAGCATCTGAAGCGCTCTTCTACCCGGGCTCTTGTGTCTTTTCAGAGGGAGCGATGAAAAATTCCAGCGGGGGGGGGGAGGGGGGACAAAATGACCGCCGCGGCGGTATGGTCAGTTTAAGTCGAGCTTTGGGCTGCGAGGCTATCAGTGCAGAATTCTGGTCTGCCATAAGGAGTCGCGAGAAAGTATCGCGGGCATGAAAGACTTGAATAAAAAATTCCATCAGTCCCGACGACCGGACAGGTGGTGGTGGCTGCCGTATGGGGGCAAGTCGGGCTACCATCTGCCTTTGTGTCGCCGGTCAAAGTGTTGGTCCTCATTTTGTTCGGTGCGATCAGTTACAATTGCGGCTAACGCGGCGGGGTTTAGTCGCGACGAGCGGGGGTTCCGGCCCGAAAAATCCGCCGTTCCAAATTCCGTCGGCGGTTTGACAAATTTCGGCCGGTAGGGTAGGCGGTCGCTCGACTGAAGTGGCACAAGGGCCGTCGAATGCTACGACAAAACTTTCGCCGCACTGCGAATTATTGATTTTCCGGAGCGCGCTGGGGAACGAGCTCAGTATTCCCGCCAGGCGCGATGTAAATAAACAAGGAAACTTGCTGCTAAGTCCCTTTTACGTTTTTCCTTGCCTCTAAGACCGATTTTGAGCGACGCGTTCCTTTCGGAGCGTCGCCCGCTTACTTCGTCGCGCCTAACGTGGCTGTGGCCATGTTTTTTTTAATTGCTTCTTATCGTAAACCTGAAAGAGCGTTGACCCGCGATGGTTACGTGAAACGTACAAATCATTCAGAAAGCAGAAGAAGCGGTTTGGAATTACATTTTACATATTAGAGACAAAATTGTGGAAGAGGTAGCTTAGTGAGCGACTTCGCTCCTCAAGTTTGCCGCAATTATTATAGAAAGGCAGGACATATTCAGCAATATAGTGATACGTTAATATTTTTGTTTGCTTGCGAACAGTCGAGATATCAAAAGGAGGTGAGATAAAGATGACGAGGTGAATAGAAAGAGATAAAGCGTACATGTATCCCTTGAATAGGATATCCAAATGGCCCAGTGGAATCGTTATCGTCTAAATACGGTAATTCGGTTGCGATGGAAAGGATCTAGGCCTTATCGCTCTTGAATCAAAGGCGACAATGAACTTTCTCGTGCGCTTAGTACAATGGCCAAGGTTCGCCGGTAATACCAATCTAAATCGTTCCGTCTAATCCTGACTCCTCAGTCGGGTGCGCGCAATATACAGGGAATCCTCCAATCGTCCGCGTACAGGCGGAACTTTCACCTTTGACAGGATCCATTGTAGAACAGCTACGTTATCACAAAGACACGGGGCGTTACGGAAGGAAACGACGGGACATCGATCAGTTTGCCAACGAACGCCCTACTCCTGGACGGAGCGTTGCTCCAATAATCGTCCATGGTGGATTCAACCCAATCGAATCCCCCGACGGTCGACGCAACGATAAGGGTGGAGGAATGGGAGAGGAGGCCACGCTCTGGGGCTCTCGGAGTCGTACTGTCACGTACCTTCGTTCGTCGGATGAGACGTCTCGTCGAAAACCTCCCTGCACACGATCGTAGCGGCGCTGTCTTGAGAAATGCTCATGCTAGCGCTACACCCTGGCACCCCATAAACGTAATGTTCGCATCACGCGGCTACGTTTGCCATACTCGTGCGACGAGCGAGGGAACGATGGCACGTAGGGTACGGCTCATTTTTCCATATTAACGCGCGGTGTATGTACGCGCCTCTTGCACTGCGCGAAGCTCGACGGTCAATGTTGAATTCAGCTTGAACGTAGGCGGTGGTAGTAAAGAGAAGGGAGAATAGTAAGAGAGAGCCGCTGGTTGCGCCCCCCCGTTTGCCAGCTGCGGAATCAGCTGGTCTGATAAGAGATACACGGTCACTGATATGGGCAACGTTATTTTTATCATCGAGAATAAGATGCTCGTCGTGAAAATCGTAAGTGCGATTAAACGCACGAAAACACCTCTCGTAGAATTATCGGCTGTTCGCGATTGATTAAAGTGTACGATGGTTTTGAAACGCTCCCTTACAAAGATAACCGATCGATCTGATAAGAAAGTATTTATCGGGCCTCTTATTAATCGTTTTTTATTAATAAGTTAATAATATCTAGACAATAGGTTAACGCAAGTATGTGTGAAAATACGAGGGATTTTTTTATTGTAATGTTTAACTTTACGTACGTGCAATTTGTGATATTGTCTAATATTAAATGTAGCAATGTCTCTAAGGAAGTGATGAGCGACTTATTGTGGTAATTGAATTATCGTGCAGTTATAGTTAAACCGAATAAAAAAAAAAAAAATACTCAGAATTCAAAACGACATATGCTGGCAAATAATTTATTTAATAAAAATACGACGTTTCGACCAGTAATACTGGTCCTTTTCAAGTATAATTACGTTACATCCATCAAATGTTACAGCAAGAGATCTAAAAGTTATGTAGTTACAATTAAAACGAGCAAATCAAATAATCGAATAAAAAAAGTCACGATTTGCAACAATATACTTTTACCACGATGGTATCTACTGTAATAACTTACCATTCAATAATAGTTTTGTTACATGCGTTTACGCGTATAAAAAGTCGCAAGTTTAAGTTTATTGGTAGAGATGCTTTTATGTCAATCTACATTTCTATCGACTATAGATAATAAAGTTACCTGATTTAAAAGATTAAATTAAGATATGCTCTTTATGCGCAAATACACGCACGTATATTTACGTAGATATATGTGGATTTTTATTTGTCATCTTTTAAAACGGGAGATTTGCAGGTAAAATATTAATAAATATGAATGCAATGAATGGAAAAGGATTTCTCACTGTATTCTGCTCGAAGGCATTGCATTACTTTCTTTGAGATGTAAAATATATTTTACGATCCTAATGTTTTAAATATATTCAGGTAACTGCAGACAAACAAACGTTTAAAATAAATGTGCAGTAAAATAACGTAATTCGTAATCTTTTTCTAATGCGTATTTTGTGCATTATGTGCAGTTTCATTCTTTAAATTTTAATCGTATTTTATAACAGAGAGTTTATATTACAAAACAGTATCTTTTATCTTTTTATCCTAAGTTTTGTTACAGCATAATTATCGTTTAAATTAGTAAAATTGTAAAGTTTACGATGAATTTTCGCAATAACTAAGCTTATTGTAATTGAAAAGTAATTCTAAAAGTAATTTAAAATATGTGAGAAAACTGCGCGCAGCCAATACTATATTTAAATCTACTTTACTATCGGTTGGTTAAAATGAAATGCATCGTGGTTCTTAATCCTAACGCATAGAGGAGGCGACTATACGGTTTTTTAATATTCGATAAAATATTTTACTTTGATAACTTCAATGTGATCATATTAATACTGTAAATTTCTGTAAAAGTTTTACGAAAAAGAACAAACCAAGATTAAAGCTGATATTATGTCGTAATAAGATAAAAAACCATGTTCTTAGAACCAAAAGAGAAATATTATTACATCGAATTGTTATTGATACTTATTAGGTTTTGCAAACTGTTATTATTAATTTAGCATTAATTCTATAACAAATTGATTGCAAAGTTAAAACTTTAACTTTTATCTATTTCATTTATTAAATGTCTGTTTCAACGTATTGCGAATATTATTACCGAACATTTTTTATTTTAATTGTCTCGTTTATTTTAAATTTTGTTTTAATATTTTAATATTACATATTTGTTGCGTGCGCGGATCTAATAGACTAGGATAATAATATTTTCTTTGTTCAGAAAAGTAATGTCTTTAAGAGACTCACTGGCCTAAATAAAATGATTTATCCCAACGATATTTCATAATTTTGATAGAAAAGTTAAACGTGTATCTAGAATATCTTATTAATTTAAATCATAGTCTCGTTTCAGTTGAAATTCGCATTACCTGGTACATTTATATTTTATTATCTCAATACATTCTATCTTTTCAATTATTACCTTGTACATTTGTATTTTATTATCTTAATCCTTTTTATCTTTTTAATCGTTATCTTTGTGCATTATCATGCGCAATCTGGTTTTTGTATTTTTAAATAAATTGTATTTCAGTATTTTCAAGAAAAATTTATCCTCTCGTTGCACCGAAATATCATGTATATTCTGTACAAATGACTTCGTAATATCCGACCATTTTAAGATGAAACTTTTCTTAACGAAGAACAGCCTTTCTACGGTTCTTAAACGATCGCAATAAAAATAATCAGGTGAATATCATTCTTGAGAAAACCACGCGCTTCTGCAGCGCAACCGACACATACTCATTGGAGTGGAAACGTTCATTAAAATAATAAAAGCCTGACGTTTTTCTAGAGCAAACGTGGTACCAATCTCGCAACGTCCGCGTCTCGGTGAAAATAATGATCGGATATCGGGCGACTATTGATCAGAAAATTTAAATTTCACGCGATACTGCAAACAATGAAGAAGCCATCGGTCTGCGATGTCAACGACTACGACAAATGTTTTGTTGAAAGCAAGAATTAAATAATGATATCTTGTGCCGACGCAATGTATATTACTTGCGGTCGAGATACAAGACATTCCTTTTCTCAATCCGCTCTTTATTTTTCATTTCTTTCTACGAAATACCCATCGGTCCCAGATACTTGTGTGTGAGATGAAATGTTTTCTCGATTTGTCTATTTTAATTCTTTCTCTCTCCCAGATTCAGTGGACGTGAATCTTCTAAGAGTTCTAGTATGCATGTATATTGATTAATTAATTGGAAAATTGGTAGGAAATAATCTTACGGACTTGTGCCTTGTATATTTTGTGTGCGCGCGCGCGCCCACGTGTGCATATTTTAATGTAATATTTTAATTATTGATTTAGGAGGAAGTCAGTGATGTTGAATTATATTTAACTAGAAACTGGATATATTCTGTAGATATCGGAGGGTGAGAAAATATATTATTTTAAATCTTTACAGGAAGAAAACGCAGAAGCTAGAAGAATGAGTAACTGTTTTGTTTTTTTACTTGCGCGAAAGTCCGTTAGTAGCCCACCATGAGAAATCGTTGCAGCTGAGAATCAGGCACGTTACCGGCAATAATAAATCCTATTGGTTGTTAGGTCCTTGAATTCACATCGAGGGACCCCTAATTCGACCTAACAACCTAACACCGTTACCTTGTTAAATAAATGTCACACTGCGAAGGGTGCCCAAGGGTTGGATGCCGGACTTGTAGTAGACCAACCCCTCGAAAATGGGACAACGCCCGCATTGTTAAAAAATGGTGGACGTTGACAATACAAATTACATATGAGAGAGGAACTACAATAAAGAGAGAGAGGGGGGAAAAGAGAGTCTGTGTGTGCGTAGAAAATATAGCATAAAGTATATTATATAATGGTAATACGTGTTTTAACGCAACATAAAACAAAAGACGAGAAAAATATAACATTTCAAATACCTACTGAACTAAGCTTGAATTGAAACTGCTTTTTAGATTATTATATTGAATAATTTGAAGTTAGAAAATAATAAAAATAACAAATACATATCTAGTTGTATAATATATAATAATAATACTTTTAAAAATAATTTTATTTTCTTCGAGTGTTGTTATAATTGTCTTTATTATATTTGTCTTTTAAACATTAGCTTTAATCAATCTAATTTAAATTACTACACTGCTAAGCAAATTTTCTACAAATTACTTATTAAGCTCACACATCGTAACACAATAGTGCTTTGATATTTTCAATATGCGGTTCTTTTATTTAATTTTCATCGCATACTTAACACATCTTGTCGAGTTAGGGACAAGTTTCCGAAGACTTTCACATGAGATTTTCGACAGGAAGAGGCACCGAGATAATCATAGTTTTATCGTTGCATCGCTTCGCACCTTTAATACCTATCGAGAATAATCTAGAAGCCTCTGACAGCGTTCTCCATGGAAATAATGATGCAATGTTTTGTTAGTCACTGAAGATGTTTATCTGAAAAGATCACGCATGGCGGCCGCTGTCAGCAGATGTCCGTTTCTCACACAACAGCAATCAAGACTTGAACTTGCAGCTCGCTTTTTAACGATTTGTTAGCAGTATATAATAATCGTGTTAGCGTTTAAATATTTAATTACTATTTTGTATAACGCTGTCTACTAAAAACTTTGAAAGATCAAAAGTTAGCCATTGATTGCAATAAATTCTCAAGGAAAAGAAAACGTAATAAAATACCAATTTTCGGACTTACGTAATTTTATGTTAATATCGTCTAATAAATATGCCGATATGTCGATCTGTCACCATCATTCCCTGCGAAAACAACCGAAATATTACAATAAATGTAAATAAAAGACGTACACTAGGAATCACCGATGCTTTCCCCATATGAATTTAGGCACAGGTAGAACACATATACATTTTCCATGTGTGCGTATATGCAAAATGTATAAATGTGCCGATGTGCGCACAAATTCGTGTGGGAAGGCATCGGTGATTCCTACTGTACAATATGACACATGATGACAATGTTGGAAATTTGTATTGAGCAATAAAATTAATGAATCTTTATTGCTTTCATTCTATTCTCTCTCTCTCTCTCTCTCTCTCTCTCTCTCTCTCTCTCTCTCTCTCTCTCTCTCTCTCTCTCTCGCTCTGTTATTACATCAAAAAGCCTTTGTAGGATACAATCGCTTTTCAAAAATGTAGTAATAATTGTACACTTGAAATTAGCTGTTCAGTAAACGTCATTGTCAAACATATCATTTCTCGAAGTTTCAAAAAGTAATAATACTCAATAGTTGATCAGCACCATATCATTATAAAAATTGACAAGTTCAGGGACAGTTAAAAATATGCCGTATCGAGCGTAACGTTGAACGTCAATCGTAGTTAATGCG